GAGCCTTCATCAGGAACTCAATGGGGATGTGGCGTACAACACTAGAGGCCAACTCCAAGCCCATAGCACAAGTCACCATCAAGTGCGGGATCTACCAAGGAGATGCTCTGTCCCCACTGCTGTTCTGCATAGGCCTGAACCCCCTCAGTGAGATCATTAACAAGACTGGCTACGGATACCGACTACGGAACGGAGCAGTTGTCAGCCACCTCCTGTACATGGATGACATCAAGCTGTATGCCAAGAGTGAACGAGACATCGATTCACTGATCCACACTACCAGGCTATACAGCAATGACATTGGAATGTCGTTCGGACTGGAGAAGTGTAGTCGGATGGTAACAAAGAGAGGGAAGGTAGTCAGAACTGAGGGGATTGAACTACCAGAAGGCAACATTGCAGACATAGAGGACAGTTACAAGTACTGGGGATCCCGCAGGCGAATGGGAACCATGAAGAGGCCGCTAGAAAAGCTGCAACCACCAAGTACCTGCAGAGGGTCAGGCAAGTCCTGAGGAGTCAGCTGAATGGTAAGAACAAGATCCGGGCCATCAACACGTACGCCCTGCCCGTGATCAGGTACCCTGCTGGGGTAATAGGCTGGCCAAAGGAGGAGATAGAAGCCACTGACATAAAGACAAGAAAGCTCCTTACCATGCATGGAGGGTTTCACCCCAAGTCCAGCACCCTGAGGCTGTACGCTAAGCGGAAGGAAGGGGGCCGGGGACTGGTGAGTGTCAGCACCACAGTCCAGGATGAGACAACGAACATCCAAGAATACATTGGGAAGATGGCCCCAACTGACCGAGTGCTCAGTGAATACCTCAGGCAGCAGAAACCCAAGAAAGAGGAGGGAGACGAGGAACCATCATGGAAGGACAGGCCCCTGCACGGTATGTACCACCGGCAGATAGAGGAGGTGGCTGATATCCAGAAATCCTACCAGTGGCTGGACAAAGCTGGACTGAAAGACAGCACAGAGGCACTAATCATGGCAGCACAAGAACAAGCTCTGAGCACAAGATCCATAGAGGCTGGGGTCTATCACACCAGGCAAGACCCCAGGTGCAGGCTGTGTAAAGATGCCCCAGAGACAATCCAGCACATAACAGCAGGGTGCAAGATGCTAGCAGGCAAGGCATACATGGAACGCCATAACCAAGTGGCCGGCATAGTGTACAGGAACATCTGTGCCGAGTATAACCTGGAAGTCCCGAGGTCAAAATGGGAGATGCCCCCAAGGGTGGTGGAGAATGACCGAGCTAAGATCCTGTGGGACTTCCAGATACAGACGGACAAAATGGTGGTGGCTAACCAACCGGACATAGTGGTGGTAGACAAACAGAAGAAGACGGCCGTAGTGATCGATGTAGCGGTTCCGAATGACAGCAATATCAGGAAGAAGGAACACGAGAAGCTGGAGAAATACCAAGGGCTCAGAGAAGAGCTCGAGAGGATGTGGAGGGTGAAGGTAACGGTGGTCCCCGTGGTAATCGGAGCACTAGGTGCGGTGACTCCCAAGCTAGGCGAGTGGCTCCAGCAGATCCCGGGAATAACATCGGAGATCTCTGTCCAGAAGAGCGCAGTCCTGGGAACAGCTAAGATACTGCGCAGGACCCTCAAGCTCCCAGGCCTCTGGTAGAGGACCCGAGCTTGAAGGATAAACCGCCGCAGGGGCGTGCTGGGTGTTTTTGTTTTTATATATGACATTTTTACAAAGATCAGAGATGCCTTCTAGTATCCCTCTACCGATGGACTATCGAGCACGTCCTCAGCAGCTGCATCACTGTCTGGTGTGGTAGCTGCACCATATCGGATCACAATATCCTACAACGGATATTGAGAACAGCTGAGAAGATCATTGGAGTCTCTCTTCCCTCCACCACAGACACTTATTGCACCCACTGCATCTGTGAAGCCACCAGCGTTGTGGAGGACCCCACACACCCCTCAGACACACTTCACCCTGCTGCCTTCTGGCAAGAGGTACCGGAGCACTCGGGCCCTCACTGCCAGACTGAGGAACAGTTTCTTCCTCCAAACTGTCAGACTCCTGAACACTCAGTGAGTGGCCTGACACACACACACACACACCTCATATACACACATACACACCTTCATACACCAAGTGACTCTTTGCACAATCAAAGCTTTATTCGCCACATGCAGGTTGCCCTGCAGTGAAATGGGATCACCCCCCCGACCTTACACACACAACACAGACATCACATGGGGATACAGGTCGGAGATCGGTAGCATTACAGAAAAACACTGAAATGTACACTACAATGGGAAAGTACAAGAGGAAAAAAAGAGACCTCTACTCATGCTGGGCTCCTGGGAGGACAGCATGAGAACAGGAAACAAAAAAACTCCTCTGCACAGAAAGCACATAAATGTCCACAGCACAACATTATGGAGCACGTGACAAGCCACAGGGTGGTAGGGGGTGAGGAGTAATCCGAAGCAAACACAGCAGCGATCCTGCCCTGCGCTATCATTTCCAGCGCGGGCCAGACCCGCCGTGTTCCCAGGAGGGAACAAGCATCGAAGGCGTATGGAAAGGGAGGGGGGATGAGTGTGTGCATATCAGTGTTATGTATGTGTGTGTGTGTCCAGAGTTTAGCTGAGACAGTGTCCTTCGCCCTGCCAGGCTAAGTAAACAGTCTTCCAGCCAACCCAGGTGGCCTTGCATGGAATGGGAAGAACAGTCTAAACACAGTCGTTATCAGGGTGTTTTTGTTCAGCTCCAGCCTTGACCCACAGCTGGCGCCGAAGGGACAGCCGCATTATGATGGTTGTTTTTTCTTTAGTGCGAACAACTCATGAGAATTTCAAAGCTGTTCTTAACACTCCGACACTGGTCTCTCAATCTCCCGTTGGAGAGCCGCGAGCTTCTCCATGATGTTATCAAACTTGCGCTCCGTGGTCTTGTCATTCTTGTGCTCAAAGGGCAGATTCTGACAACTCATGACCGCAGTGAGCTGCTCCAAGATGTGATCCAACTTGCGCTCAGAGGTCTTATTCTGAGTATTCACGGCAGCCGTAAGATTCTCAAAGATCTTATCTGTGCTGCACTCAATGAGCCCATTCTGAGAACTCACGCCTCGTCCCGTCGTTTCAATCCCAGCGGCAGCCTTGTGGGGGTTTGAACAGTAAGCCAGGGCCAAGCCAGCTCCAATCAGCAAGAACCCTGTTATCATGGTTCCTGAATAGGTAGATATCTTCAGCTCCTCATCGACAGTCCCACCAGGCACACGATTCTCCATTTCTGCCACCCGTCCATCGTGTATCCGGCAGGCACTCAGTCTCACGAGCCCAGACTTCTCTGTTGAGAAAAGGGTGTCAATTGCATTCAGGGACCAGTTGATCAAATCCATAATTCCTCTTTAGGTTTTAGAGAACAGACTGTGAGAGAGTGTTCCAGGGAAAGTAATACAAAAAACACGAGACTAGACAAGGACATAAGAGGCTAAGCAGGGAAGATAAGGGAGAGGAGGAGAGGAGAAAAAGTACGACCGCCTTCGCTCAAGAACCAAAAGAGAAACCATACTTTTGCATGTTTCTTTAACACCATTGTGTCTGCACTGTCTTGTGCCTGTATCCTTCTGTCTGGTGTTGCACTGTCTTTGTTTTTTTTGTTTGTTTTTTTTTCCAATTTTTTACATTTAAATAATATCACTCAGTCTTCCTATTTTCATCTTCATATTATTAACTGCTTTCATCCTTCACTCACTCTAAACAGTACCGCCATATTTGTCAATGCTCTTGTCACATCTCTTTAGATTACTGTAATTCTCTCTCTTGGGTCTACCTCATCAAATCTCTCCATAAATTGCAGTTAGTTCAAAATACAGCTGCTCGTATTATTTCCAGAACTAGATCCACTGAACATATAACACCTGTTCTTAAACAGCTCCATCTGGCTCCAGTTCACCTCCGTGTCAATTTCAAGATCCTGCTTCTCACTTTCAAAGCGCTTCATAACCTCGCTCCTCCATATTTATCTGATCTTGTCCATACATAGGGCTTTGGAGCAATCTCTTTGCATCCAGACGCAACCTGTCTCTATACGGTCCTTTTTCTCTTGAGCTGTTTTTAAAGCATGGTTGGTAGCAATCTTCCTTCCAACACAGTTTGTTTTGATACGTGCCCTTCAAATGTGGCGTCGTGCACCCACAATACATTGTGCCGTTACATCAATTCCAAAGCCCTATACTCACCCCCTCGTACACTCGGCTCTTTTTCAGCTTCCCTTCTGTCTGTTCCACCTGCCCGCCTGATGGGACTCAGAGCCTTTGGTAGACTTTGGATGCACTTCCACCAGATCTCCAGACCACAAACTGTTTCTTCACTTTTAAATTGCATTTTAAAACCATCTATTCAGAACTGCATTCCCTTCATTATGACTCTGTCTTAGTGCATTTTTACCATGCTTAGCTTTTATACTGTCATGCTTGTTTTTTTTCTCATTTAACTTGTGTTTTTATTTAGTTTTACTATATTTTAATATATTGTATTGTTGTTACTGTTATTGTACTATTGTAAGGTGACCTAGAGGGCCTTAAAGGCACCTAGAAATAAAATGTATCATTATTATTATTAGCATTACTCTTAATAATTTTTGCACATTGCACCTTATGTAGTCCTGTGCTTATTGTCTGTTATATGTAGCACCATATGGAGGAATTCGTTTCACTGTGTACTGTCACGGTTCTGGGTCCGTTGGACCCAGTATTTTGAGCTTATTGTGTTTTGATTTAAGTTTGCATCAGGGATTGTGTTCTTGTTCTCTTGTCGTGTTATGGTGATGATTATGATGTCTATTATTAGAGTTCCATGTTTCTGTTTATCTGGGTTTAAGATGTGGGTTTAGTTTCATATGTCATTTCCTGTCTGTCTCTCGATGTCGAGCCTGCGTGTGATGTTTTATTGTGAAGGTCTGCGTCTCATGTGAGTGTGTTCAGTTTTACCTCTGTCTCATCTTACTGATTGTTCCCAGCTGTGTCCACCACCTGTGTGTAATTCCCGTGTTTCTCTGTGTGTATTTAAGTCGTGTCCTCCGTCATTGTAGTTGCTGGTCCGTCTGTGTAACCACCGTGTCTCGCTCGTGTGTTCACCCTGCTGTCTACCATCGTCTGCCTCTGCTCGCCCTGCTTCATGTTCATGTTCTGGTTTCTGCGCTATAGTTTAGTTGTTTCCCAGTATAGTTTAGTTCGAGCTCCATTTGCTGTTTGTCCTTATTTCGTGTTCAATAAACCACCTTCGCATCTTCACGACTGCCTGCATTTGGATCCTCATTTATTATTTTCACACGGCTCCTCTCACTCGCCGTGACATGTACTGTACCACAGCACAAGGTTGGAATGACAATAAAGCCACTTGATTTAGTTTGAGATTTAGTGGGTGTTATCCATCGGGTGCTTAGTTTATGTAAAATTGTAGTTTGTTGTTTTGGTTTATAAGCTTAAATTATGTGTGTGTTGTATATGAGTAGACTTGTATACAGTTAAACATGTATGGATTATATAATGTCGAAGTCTGAATACTGATTTGTAAATACTGGAATTTGAAAAGAGGGGGTAGGAACAGAAAAGGTGCAAACTTTATCCTACTCATTTTCTAGCATACACATTGTGTAGACATAGAGATAATCACGAAACTTGATGTTAAGGTTTTTCTTTTTTCTTGTTATTTCAGTTATATTTACAAAATAAACATTATTGTATTTATGCATCTATATATAGAAGTGGGAGTGGAGATACATGACCGGAAACATACAATAGTTAAACACAGAAGCAAAGCTGTGATGGGGACAGGGATTTTACTTTGTCCAGTGACGACAGAAATGACATTTCAGTGCCTCAGAGTTTATCTGAAGGTCACACCTCACGCCTCAAACACACCAGCAGGTCAGCGGTCTGACCTTGTATCTGCTGGAGTTTGTCCTCCACTTGTCTCTTCATGTCCTCAGCTTCCATCATGATGTTCTTCAGTCGACCAGCAGCTTGACCCTTGACCTCCTGATTCTGTTGATTTTGCTTTAAAACCTCAAACTGCTTAGTGACATCACTGAGCTCCTGTTGGGCAGAAACAGTGTTCTGATTTTCATCTGAGACTTGAAACTGAAAACAGAGACTCAAAGTTGTGTGCAAAGTTTATCTTAAAGCCTCAAACACATATAAATGTGTCTGTTGGTGTTTTTACCGTGTCTGCATCAGTGGTCATGTTTAAAGCGCTCTCTGCCACCTCTCTGGCTTCTCTCGCTGTCTCTCTGTTCTCTTCAGTTTTGTCCTTCATAGCTTCAATCTCTTTCTGCAGGTCTTTGGTCTGAATCATGAGCCTCTCCTCGATGTTGTCCAGTGTGTCTTCAGCCTGAAACAGAAAACAAACATGAGCACATCAGCATCAGGCTGAACAAACGTCTCAGAGGTCATATGTGAAATATTTTGGATGTTTTACATCTCGGATCCTGTCTTTGGTCTCATCTTTGTTTCTGCTCGCTCTCTCCAAGAGGTTGTTAGCTTTGGCCTGAGCTTTGTCTGCTTCATAAATATCCTGAATGATCTTCTTCACATCAGTGTTCTCCATCTGCTCCCTAAATACAATAAACAAAGATGATTAAGGTTCAGAACACGAAGAGGACAAATATGTGTTCTGACATAAACGGTAGTAACCAGACCGAAAAGCAGCGCACATTTCGGTGCTTTTTTTCTGAGATGTCATACACTTTGGATTCTAGCCAATCATTTTACCTTTCCAAGGATAGTAGGCGGGTCCAGGTACGTACGTTCTTTTAGAGCAGAGCTACAGATTAAAAATGCCCAAGGCGAAGCAGTCAAAAGTCTGGCTGTACTTCACAGCAAAAGATGCAAACTCAGCAGCCTGCAACAAGTGCTTTAAGCTGATACTGTGATACTGTCAAAGGAGGTAACACCTCAAATCTGATGAAACACCTGGCGACGCATAGCGTTTTTTTTAAAAGCCGAGAAATGCGCCGTATTTGATAGCTTGCTGCGAGACCTCACACCGAGCACATCTACTGCGGGTGGGTTGCCTGTTATCGGACCCGGAGTTAGCAACATCCCCCAAGAACCCGAAGAGGAGAGTCCTGGCCCCTAGCCCTGCCAGTGTAGCAGAAATGATGACGGATGATGATGGCAGCAGCAGCCGTTCTTCTCTGCGTGAGTAGCTTAATGTTGTTCGTGTGTAATTTACGTTGAGTAGGCTAACCACGTTATTACATTAATGCACGTAAGGTGAACTAGCAAACACCGTCGTAGTTACATGCGGCTGTCTTCTTGTTTGATAGAGTGATACCATATATGCCCTATAGCTGCAAAAAAGGCTAACCTGGTTATCATTTTGCAGAAAAAAAGAGACTGCTAAAAATAATAACATAAGAGTTTTTGGACAAAGTTTGTGTTCTCCATTCTTTAAGCACCGGTTCGAGCACCGTTTAAGCACCGGCACCATTTCAAAAGTACTGGTTTGGCACCGGTATTGGATAAAACCTAAACGATACCCATCCCTAGTCTTAACATGGGGATGACTCCCTGCTGGAGCCTCTGCTGGATGTCAGCGGGACTGCAGCTGATGGTGGTTTTAGGGCAGGGGTGGGCAACTCCAGGCCTCAAGGGCTGGTGTCCTGGAGGTTTTAGATAGCACCTGGGGTCAGCACACCTGAATCACATGATTAGATTAGATTAGATTAGATCACATGATTGCAGGAGTGCTCACAGACATATTCAACCTGTCCTTGGCCCACGCTGTGGTACCGGCCTGCTTCAAATCCACCTCCATCGTCCCGATACCCAAAAACTCCAACCCATCTTGCCTCAATGATTACCGCCCAGTAGCACTCACCCCCATCATCACTAAGTGCTTAGAGCAGCTGGTCCTAGCACACTTCAAATCCTGTCTCCCCCCCACCCTGGACCCCCACCAATTCGCATACCGCCAGAACAGGAGCACAGAGGATGCAGTCTCCATCGCACTGCACTCTGTCCTCTCACACCTGGACAACAACAACACCTACGCCAGAATGCTGTTTATAGACTTCAGTTCAGCATTCAATACAATCCACCCCTCACAACTCATCAGGAAACTGACAGACCTGGGCATCAGTTCCCTCATCTGCAAATGGTTACTGGACTTCCTGACCAACCGCCCCCAACATGTCCGGCTGGATAACCGCTGCTCATCTACAATCACAATGAACACCGGTGTACCACAAGGCTGTGTGATGAGCCCTTTCCTCTACTCCCTCTTCACCCACGACTGCAGACCTGCTGATGGTTCCAACACCATCATTAAGTTTGCAGATGACACCACGGTGATTGGCCTCATCAGTGACAACGATGAGGCCGCCTACAGGGAGGAGGTGGATCGTCTGGCTGAGTGGTGCGACAGAAACAACCTGCTGCTTAACACCGAGAAGACCAAGGAGCTCATCGTGGACTACAGGAGGAATGCTGACCCACATCCACCCATCCACATTAAGGGGACGGCTGTGGAGCGTGTGAGCAGCTTCAAGTTCCTGGGAGTCCACATCTCCGAGGATCTCACCTGGACGACCAACTGCTCCAAGCTGGTCAAGAAGGCTCACCAGCGCCTCTTCTTCTTGAGGACTCTGAGGAAGAACCACCTGTCCTCAGACATCCTGGTGAACTTCTATCGCTGCACCATCGAGAGCATCCTGACCAACTGTATAACAGTCTGGTACGGGAACTGCTCTGCCTCGGACCGGAAGGCGTTGCAGAGGGTCGTGAAAACTGCCCAGCGCATCGCCGGAGCACCACTTCCTGCCATAAAAGACATCTACAGGAAGCGGTGTCTGAAAAGGGCTGGGAAAATCATCAAAGACCCCAGTCACCCATCACATGGACTCTTCACCCTCCTGCCCTCTGGGAGGCGCCACAGGAGCCTCCGGACTAAGACCACCAGGTACCGGAACAGCTTCTTCCCCACAGCTGTCAGACTCCTGAACTCTGCCTCCTGACATCTGACCCACGTTAAACTCATGGACTGAACATACACACACCCACAATGGACAACTGTACCCTCAAACACACAATAATAACATGGACTGAACCACCACTCACAACCACTAGCACTTTATATAGCCTCTGTAGAAACTATCTACACCCTCACTTATCTTAACTGCACTACTGTATAGCTCTGTGTAAATAATCATTCTGTACATTCGATAATCTTTAATCCTACAACTGTTTACAACTTGCATAGTTCCCATTTCTGTATAGCTGTATATCTCAGATTTCTGTAAAGTTATTTATTTCATATTCTGTATAGTTTTTCATATTTATATCCTGTTCATAGCCTGTACATAGCTTGTACTCACTACAGCCTGTACATACTTATAGTTATAGAATATTCACAACATACTTCATACCGTGTACATTATAACATACCATAATAGACCCATTTCTGTAATATACTCACATATCTATATTATTGCTAATATATATTGTAATATATCTATATCACTAAAGCACTTCTGGATGGATGCAAACTGCATTTCGTTGCCCTGTACCTGTGCATGTGCAATGACAATAAAGTTGAATTCTATTCTATTCTATTCTAGTTCATTACCAGGCCTCTGGAGAAGTTCAAGACATGTTGAGGAGGTTGTTAGTGCTTAGAAACATATAATCATATATGCTGAGAGGTATATAATCGATTGCATAATGATATAATGTCTGATCCTCAGTAGTCTGCAAAGACTCTATGTGCGTTCCAGAATGCTCTGGCATACCACACGTCCTAAGGTCATGATAGAGGTCTTACCTTCTCCTCGGCTGACTGTTCTGTCTACCAGTAGCTGGTGTTTTGCGCCTCTGGTATTCTTGCCAATCCCTTTCTGTGTCCCGCTCATATATAAATTATAGCAGTCTAACATTACCAATGTGTTTAAGTACTGATTTTGGCAGAAATGATGAGACAACATGGGAACAAATACATGACTAGGTGTAGCAGAGTAATGGCCAACAAACACACTTAACACAAATGACATGCATGTTGCTAATTGGGAGTAATTGACCCATTCAGTGAAAGGGGTGTGTTCAAATTAATAGCAGTGTGGAGTTCAGTAAGGGAGGTCATTTAGTCTGTGAAGAAATGGGTGGCAATGATGGCCCTTATTTAGTCTGGTCTTGCAGTCTCGGCTGATTGTTCGGTCTACCAGTAGCTGGTGTTTTGTGCCTCTGGTATTCTTTCCCATCCCTTTCTGTGCCCCACTCATGTATTGACCCATATGCCTGTTCATCTTAGCCACTATGATGCCTGACAGGAGCTTTCATGTGGTGCTGAGGCAGGTTATTGGTTGGTAGTTGGAGGGGACCGGTCCCTTCTGGGGGTCCTTGGGGATCAGGACTGACCGGCCTAGGGTTAGCCATTCTGGATGTCTCTCGTCCACTAGCAGCTGGTTCATTTGTGCTGCCAGTCGCTCGTGGAGTGCAGTCAGCTTCTTCAGCCAGTAGGCGTGAACCATGACGGGGCCCGGTGCTGTACTGGACACCCTTTCTTGGATCTCTGTCACTGTGATGGTTACTGGACCCTGTTCAGGGAGGTTGCTATGGTCTGCCCTCAGATCCCCTAGTCACTGAGCATTGCCGTAATGGGTTAAGTCCTTCTCCCATATGCTCTTCCAGTATTGTTCCGTCTCCAGCCTTGGTGGTGCTGTTCTCATATTGTTCCCCTGCCACTGAGAGTACACCTTGGCAGGTTCTGTGGAGAACACGTGGTTTCTGCCTTCTATCTGCCTTCTATCTCTCTGGTGTACATCTTCAAGCAGCTGACCAAGGCTGTGAGTCGTTGCTTGGCAGTTTCCAAGGCCTCAGGTATGGACAGCTTCCTGTACTTCTTAGCCACCTTCTTCATCACCCCTTTCTGCAACTCCGTTAGTTGGCTAATATTAAATTCCGTTCTTTGGAATTCTTTTGGCGACAGAGAAAGACTGGAGTCAGAGTGGTCAAGCTCAAAAATAATCTTTATTTTTACAATTCCGGAAATGGAGACCCGAATACACGAACACACAAGCTCAGGTCTGAAAGCATTAGAAGCCAGCATGGTTATATAGTTCTGCTGCACATCACACACACACACAGTTTACTGAGTTCCACTTTTTCTATACTTCGTGTTTTCTGCACAAGACGTGCAGTCTACTCTGTGACTTATGGCATACATTCTAACTCACAAGGGCGTTTTCCTACACTGGGCTCTATGAAACAATATAAACAGAAAATAAGCATTAACAATATATATTTATATTGTAACACTAACCTCCCTCCGTTCTACCTTGATCTTAGCCACTAACCTCCTTCTCCATGGAGGGTACTGCCCCTTTTGGCTATTCAACTTGTAGCCAAGCATCTCACTGATCACTGCTTCCGTATTGTAGATCAGCTTGTTAGTTTTGGTAATGGCGGCTGTAGGTATCGTCCGTAGTGCTAAATTAACATCATCTAGCAGATCTTCTGAGGGTACCCCCCGTAGTCTTGGTAACCGACTACGGGGGGTCCAGGTTTCAAGCTTGCCCATGATCCTATCTTTCAGGTCAGTTCCTCTTGCACTCAATGATCCTCCTCCTATCGCACTTGGGGATTGATGCCCAATCTCTGGTGGGGGTGAT